TAACCTATACTAATATTATAATAAAGCGTAAACACACACTTCTTTGTTGCCTAAGATGTTAGCAATTAAAGCATGTTTTTGAATAACTATTTCTTAGGCTATATATTTTCACGACATTAATCTTAGGGGGTAAATATTTTGAATAAAAACCCTAATGTGGGAAAGAGACCATAAGTTGTTGCCAACATCAAGGAAGCAAGATTGCTAAGGTTTTTCATGTCATGTCATATTAACATTTGCTATTGATAATTTCACAAATGTAAACAATAAAATAAAATTTTCATAATTTCATGCGGGTGAAGCCGTACGGGAACAGTTTATAATAAATAAATCTCTACCTTAATATTTTGGACAGAATTAGAAAAGAGATTCTACAAAAATTATCATGGATCTAAGTAAAAACTAAATGTTATTTCCTTATAAAAGTTAAAATACTCTAGTACACGATTAGTTATTAAAAGGTAACATAAACACTCGCTAAGTAGATTTCATATTCTAAATTTAATTACACATTCTACTCTGAATATTAGTTAGTGCTATACTCACAGTCTCTAGTAATATGTTACAGTCTCAAGAGAAAGCTATAGTCAATGTTGAAGATTGTTGTAATTCTTTGATGACACATCAAAAGATTTGTTTGTCTTTTTCGTGTTGTTAATGCGTAGGGTGAAAACACAAGGGAGTACTCGTATACGTTCTGCACGCGGCTGCATTCTGTTGAAGGGAAATTGACAGCGTTTTCATTTCGTCGGTGACGCGACATGTTTATGTTTTAACATTTTTTAGTATACCGTATCATATAGAAAACCTTCTTTCGACTTGTAGACTTAGATGAGGAAATAATCATAAATATACTTCTTCAATTATGTGCCTAAAGTTTTTTTGTTTTTATGGCGTCTTCAGAATATCTAAGGTTACGTTAGCCTTCATCCAGACCATTATAGGTTAAACTTTGAAGTTTCTTCAAGATATTCAGTGGTACGTGACATTTGCACGGAGCTCGTCGACTGCGTTTTAAACATTTAAATAAACCTATCCTATAATGTGAATATATGAAATGAATATCGTTTTTACTTTATGCATAGAGGTGAATTTTATAATTTTATATGTATAAAAGTTGAGAAATCACACCTATTTATCTAAAGTGATTCAATTCCTTTTTCATAAAACCAAGAAAGTCTCCGAAAGAATAAGAAAAATACAATTCGCGAGACTACGAGCTACCATATTAAATCCACATGCATGTAGAAATAATAATAATATTGTATCATTAAATTTTATGCACTAGACACGTAAATATCTAGATTGATATTAACCTGAGGACGTTCTCAGGAGGTTAGTTCCAACTCTAGTGACAAGACAATCCCGCTGAATAACATTGTCAAATATTGTGACAAGTATTCGTTAGAGCATAGAGTCTCAAGTGAAATATGCAAGTTACAAACTGTAGTTTACGTTTGCTTTTTGCAATTTTATAACCTCAAAATTAAACAGTAGTATGTTCTCAATAACTCCTAAATGGTTAAGGAACGTGAATTTTAATAATTGCATACATCCTTTTCTTTCGTAGATAAGCAAAATGTGGATAATAAAAATTGTATTACCTGAATGTACTGAAAGCATTAAAAATACTTTTATATTCAATGAAAAGTCAAAATATAACAAAGAGGTGAACACAAAAGATGTGGTTTTTAATATGTAACAATGAACATTTTAGGTTATGTTAAGAATAAAAATAGTTCACCGAGTTGAATGTAGTTGAGGATAAAACCTCCGTGGAGTTTGTGCAGTCATTCTGTATAGCCACTGTCTGTATTAATCAGTTAATTGTAGGTTTATAAATGCATAAAACGCTTAGCTAATTTCGTTAGCTAGGGCATAGAGTCATGAAAATGTAACAGACTGCGTAGGTTATTGCAGAAAGAATATACTACATAATAAACTCTCATCTTTACCTGTTAACTCTTCGAATAGTGTTTGCAACATTCGTCATCGTAGATTTCTTGAATTTGTTTAATTGCATATCAGATTTATCGTTTTTTAATAAGTAGTTAGGCATTTAATTAAATTAAATTAAATTAAATCCTTTATTATTTCACTTTAAAAATAAACACATTTCATGAGAGCCTTGGCTCCTGCACTGGGTTCCCCTGTGCTGCAGGAGCCAATCCCTTTCCCCATTTGTGAAGAGCAATACATTTTCATTAGTGTCTAAACATAAAATACAAAGAAAAACATTAAATTTACTTATTATAGAAATGACGAGTAACAAAAAAAAAATAAAAACAAAGGAAAAGAAAATTAAAATGTGGTAACTTGTAACATCGGACGGAAATTTAACTCTTTTTATCTATATTTTAAATTGTAGACTTGACTTTAACTTCAATTGAAATGTAAATTAAAACAAAAATATTTATAAATCATCAAAGATTAAGATGGAATCTGTATTCCACTAAATAAAAGATACGTTTATCTTGGTTTGTATAGGGCGGACGTCCCCTTGGCAGTGTTGCTGGCCCGCGGCGTAGCTTCGCACACGGGATCAATGCAAGCGATAGATGCGCAGTTTGATAGCTGATCTGATGTGAAACATTCCCTTGACGGTTATCATGGAATAGAGAAGGGGCCTTTATGAATGTTGGAATAGCACGGGTATTAATGGCAGACATTTTGGCACATTTTCACTCTATCTTTTAGGTTATTTTTTTATGAATGTGTTTACAAGGATAATGGAGAACTGAAGCACATATGGATAGATTTTATGAAAGACTTAGGGCCCGTCCCACCAAATTATAAATTGTCTGATAGTAATCCAACGTGTAAATTATGTGTTGGAAACATCAGATTTTATCACCTTATCTGACAGTGACGTCATGTTTAAGCTATTTAAGCCTCTATCAGCCAGTGGTGGGAAAGGCCCTATTTGTTAAAAAAGCAAGTAGAGAAGTAAGAATGATAGGAATGAAAAGGCAGGAAGATATGACGAAAGGAGTACATCTTACTAATATTCTAAATATGAAAGTTTAGATGGATGGATGTTTGTTAGAGTTTGTAGCCTAAACTGCTGAACCGATCTCCATAACATTTGGATAGATGTAGAGGATAGTCTAGAAAACACAAAGGCTTTATCTTTTACCTTATCTTTTACTTTACTTTATCTTTTTTTAATTCCACGCGGACGGAGTCACGGGCTAAAGCTAATATGTAATATAAGCACTGGACTAGCTCCATTTATTTATCCGTCTTAGATTACCATGTCCAATACGTTCTTCAAATACTTAGATACTTCGTTCCAAGGATACAGGTTATAGCATGTACCAAATGCATACGAGTATCGGATACGTTATATAACTTGGTTGGTACTGACGCAGAGCGTTTATGTAATATTTCTGTCGTCCTAGTTTCGACGGCACTATGAGAGCATGTCCGGGGACAGGAATCGATCGTGAGTGCTCAAGTGCATCAGTTTGGTCGCACAAAGCTCTTTATAATACGGCACGGTTAAATACCGGACCGTCTGGCCCGTGACGTCATCTCATATGCAAATATCTCGAACATTCTAGAGAGTATAACTGCAGATTCAATCGCTTGGATATGCTTTTGTGTTTTATTTTTATAGGTTACTGTGAAATTCATTCGCAAAAAACACTATTATTTGGAAACCCAGAATGAGACGTTTCTAGTAAATTTATCAATGCTACATTGTTTTGCTATATTATGACATTTTAGTTGTTATGATATGCAAAATTGGTTTTAGTTAATATTAAATTAAATTTTGTAATATAAAGATTTATTTTCACTAGTACAAGTACATGTTGAAGTTGAATCTAACAATACGCTTTGATAGCGAAGGAAATCGAAATCCGATTACTGATGTTGGATGCATTCGATCTTACAGAGAAAATATGATTTTTGCAGCACGTAGAAATAAATTTTATTAAATAGTTGGTTTAAAATAAGACATTAACACAGATTTCTTATGTAAATAGCTAACAAAGTGAACCGTAGAAACAGCAATAAAATATATTGTTTGGCTCATATCCATAGCTTGAAAGCTATTCGTATAATGAGAGTTATGTAAGTTTGTTCGACCACATCCAATTTGTATTTAAACAAAAAAAATCGCAAAAAACATAATTAAAGTACGAGCTGTTGCCCGCAACTTCGTCCGCGTGGTATTAGAAAACATACTAACTATATAAATTACAAAACGCTTCGTATCCCTCGGGAACTGGATCCCATGTGTACTCCAGACTTTGTTTTATATCTGTGCCAAATTTTAATAAGATGTTTTGAACCGTTGCAGAATAATCGAATAAACATTATAAAACTAAACTAAATCACACGGGAACCGTAACTATTCCCGGGATAAAAAGTAGCCTATGTGTTCTTCCAGATTACGCTGTAAACCTGTGCCAAATTTCATGGAGATCCGTTCAGCCGTTTAGGCTACAAACGCTAACAAACCTCCATCCATCCATCCATCCATCTAAACTTTCGCATTTATAATATTGGTAAGATTACAGCCTTACAAATGAACGCAGTATAAAATTAAACTTAGGAACTGATATAGGCAAAATTTGTACTAAGATTTTACTAATAAGTACAAAAATTTGTACTAACATTTTGCTTATACTCAATTTATATCTCAGTCTAACTTTGTACTGCGTTCATTTGTAAAGCTGTTACTGTTTAAATCACATTCGTCCGGAAATGTGGTTAAATTCGTCCGGTATTGTCCTAAGTTCCGGACAATATTGAATTATCAATACACCCGCATTAATATTGCGACATGTTATTCTATTAAATGTAAATTTAAATGAAATTAACTTATTTCACATTCGAGACAATGTTTTCAAGTTTATTTTTCCGATATTTTTAAAGCGTTATTTTTTTTGTATACAACTTGTTTAGCTGTACTTGTAAGAAAACGGAAGAAAGTATGGATGGAGTACGATAGAGGATATGCTTAAGCGAGTGAATTCATATATGAGGGCTGACAGAGATTTTTTTTATAACATAAGGTGGCAAACGAGCAAGCGGCCACCTCAATCTGCCAAAATGGAGTAGCGACCGCTGCCCAGCCGCGATCGCAGATGCGTTGCCTACCCTTATCCGACGGAGGAGGAGACGCACATAAAGAGGATATTTCCCCTTCCTATGCATATCCTCCACCGTCAAATCCACTTATCTTCCCATCCTCTACTTATAAGAAAAGGGTGGTAAATAGAAAGGGACTAAAATTAGGCCTCCGGCACCACACTCATGAGACGAAACACGGAATTGGTTCCATTTCACGCCTGTTTTCTGAGTGGTCGTGGTATTACACCGGGCGTGCCGGCCTATTCGTGCTAAGATGTTAAAGCGGGCACTACCACTGTTAAATGTATGGATGAGCAGTATATACTCTGCCGATTCGATTGAAACAAGGGCAGGTTGATGATATCAATTTAATTTTGCCATTGTGTTCAGGTATATATATGAGTAGGATACGTTAGCATCAAAGGTCGTCCCTTTCAATATTACATAAAATGAAAACCGCTGGTTCGCTTATTGAACGAACAAATTGAGTAGGTAAGCATTCGAAGTGCGATTATTATCAGAGCAAAATGATTGCCCATCTTAACTAATAAATAAACCGACAATTCAAAAAAGAGAGATATGAACTTAGACATCATAGGTAAAAAATCAGTAAGACTCTACACAGGACTCTCTGACACTTCAGGTCATACGAATTGAATGATACCTCATACTTTTAATTCTGACAAGCCGTTATGTCTCCTTAGGTCACACATTGCTGCATAAAAACCAAGAATCTTGTACCAATGCATCGTTGTGTATATGAAATTGTTTTAACCTCTCTACCTTCTCATGTTAGCATTAAATACGCATAGAAACTAATCACATTGGTATTTAGTAGCATTTACTAAAGGCTTCATTGTATATTGATTCGTATTAATTAAAAGTAGTGTTCGCTTCGTTGCCTCCGGTTTTATTGATTTTGTCGAGTCGAACCTTTTAACTTCCGAGTACAGAATATTGAGAGGGAAGATCGACGTATGAAACAATAAAGTAATTAAGAAACATATTAGCTTTGGTCGTTATCTAAAAAGCGATGGCTCATCACCGGGAAATCCAGACGAGAAGGCGGTGGCGATCGTGATTCGCTCAGCTGCGGAGGGAGTCCTCGCCTGTGTTGCGTTCTACCGCACCGCGCGTGCGCTATCCTCCCTCGTTCCTCTCTCTCTAACCTGCGCCCTCCGTCCTCCGTCCCTCTCGCTCCCGGGAGGGTCGATATATACTCCGCTAGGTACGCGTACGGTGTCGTACCGAGCGACCAGTACGCAGGTTTCTGGCGTCCTGAGCAAACGTCACTAGAGACCAGTCAGTTCGAGCAAGAGAACGCCGCGGCCGCAACTATGTCGCGCGCCGTGCTTTTTATAAGTGTTTTTACCATATTTTTGGAAGTGCTGCATGCGAGCCAGGTAAGATTCTCCTTTTAGCAGGT